AAAAAACATGTCTACCGCCCCATTCAACGAAATATAATTATATACTTTTTCCAGTGTCCGCCCCCTCCCCGAAAATTCTACCCCCGCCACCGAAAATTTCAAGTACCCCCACCCCTCTCCGGGGAGGAAAAAGTCTAAATTAAAACCACCCCTCCCACCCCCCTAAAAAAACATGTCTACCGTCCCATTCAACGAAATATAATTTATATACTTTTTCCAGTGTCCGCCCCCTCCCCGAGGGGGGGGGGGGGCTCAGACGTTCTTACGCGGGGGTGGGGCTTCGCCCCTACCCGAAGAATTGTATGAAAGAAACTCTTCACGCAAACCACTTAGATTAGACTGAATGTTTACTCGATAATCAATGACGTCATATTAATGTGTGCACTATCCGGCTTGAGATTATTTTCTAATCTGTGCTAAATGTGTCGACGTCATACTTCGTTTTTCGAATTACTGTGCATGTTTTTATTTTCCTTGTGTTTTCTCTAGAGCGTTCTTGTCAGATAGATAGATAGATAGATAGATAGATAGATAGATAGATAGATAGATAGATAGATAGATAGATAGATAGATAGATAGATAGATAGATAGATAGATAGATAGATAGATAGATAGATAGATAGATAGATAGATAGATAGATAGATAGATAGATAGATAGATAGATAGATAGATAGATAGATAGATAGATAGATAGATAGATAGATAGATAGATAGATAGATAGATAGATAGATAGATAGATAGATAGATAGATAGATAGATAGATAGATAGATAGATAGATAGATAGATAGATAGATAGATAGATAGATAGATAGATAGATAGATAGATAGATAGATAGATAGATAGATAGATAGATAGATAGATAGATAGATAGATAGATAGATAGATAGATAGATAGATAGATAGATAGATAGATAGATAGATAGATAGATAGATAGATAGATAGATAGATAGATAGATAGATAGATAGATAGATAGATAGATAGATAGATAGATAGATAGATAGATAGATAGATAGATAGATAGATAGATAGATAGATAGATAGATAGATAGATAGATAGATAGATAGATAGATAGATAGATAGATAGATAGATAGATAGATAGATAGATAGATAGATAGATAGATAGATAGATAGATAGATAGATAGATAGATAGATAGATAGATAGATAGATAGATAGATAGATAGATAGATAGACAGACAGCGAAACTATTATATAGAATTATTAAAAAAATCTTTTTAATATATAAAATCACTCAACGAAATTAGTTTTTTTTCACATACACATTTAAGTAAATAATGACCATGAGTTACACAAATATAGAACAGTTCAAATTCTGTTGAACATCAAGAATTATATCGTTCCTAAAGATTTGTTTCTTAGAAAACAATAACTAGAAATGTTGTAAAAAAATAAAGTTAGACACGTCTCCTGTTGATGTAGCGATTTATGACGCTGATCTTGGATGGAAAATGGTTCTCAAGCAAGAAACAGATTAAAGAAATATTTTCAATGTCAGACCACACCCTGCTATATCACGGTACAAATGCTGAAAGTTTTTAGTTTATTGTTTTCTCTAGCACACGAGCAAGGTAAGTGCTGCTAAACTGACACCAAACGCATTTATTGAAGTCACTTTTATACATTATGCTGGAATAATCTAAAATAAGCTTGCACTAATTTAATGGGCGAAACATTATTTATAGCTATGTTAGAAGTTAGAATAGACTTTAACTTTAACTGGATCTAGACCAGTGGCGTAAAGCTAGCGTAAGCAAGGCATAGGGGCCCAAGGCACTTTGGGGCCCTTTTCCCTCTTAAAAAAAGTAAAACTTTTACATTGAAATTTAAATATTTGTTTAATATAAATAATTTCAATTTTCAATTTCTCTGGTCGTGCAAGCCATTGAGAGAATTAGCCTATAAATAAACTTGAACTGACTATTTTGTAAGATCGGCATCCAGCACCCGTAAATCTACATCGCCACAAACCTCAACTGATTGGGATATTCCCTACCCCATCCCACAGACCTGCACCTCTCTCCCAACTGTCTGCCCTCCACGAAATTCCATCTTACTAAACATCCGTGGTAACAACTGAGACATTAGAAAAAAAACATGGACAGTGTTTCCACAACCAGCTGGCTGAGTCTCAAAGTTTTTTTTTTTACCTCAATGACTTTTCATTTGTTGATCTAATAATCTTTAAACAATATGGCGCTACTAACACTATCAGTTTTTTATTTTCATCCAATCGCCAAGAAACTTTGGGAAGTCGTTGAGACTATTCCAAAGGAGGTGTTTTTTCCTAGACATTTTTCCTGAAAAGGTGCCTGAAAGAAACTCTGACTTTTGGGAAGGTTTCTGCCATTAAATTTATATTTTAATTCTGAGGTTGTCACCCCGGCAGTAAGGCGGCACAGTTTGCAACTCAGAGTTTCCCAGCAGCTATCTTTGCATGGGGTTCCGTTGATTAGGTGTCTGGCGCAGCGGGTAAGCGTTACTTCTTGATTCAGTGGTAAAATGGCAGCTGGCACCTCGGCCACGGCCTCCCCCATGAGCACTACGGCGCTTATACTCGTTTTAATGAGCGCCATACACAAGAGATACGTCGGGATACTAAAATCAATTACTAAATAAAACAAGGGGTGTCCTCCAGCGCATCAGCAGTAGTAAAGGTTGGGCGCCCAATTTACCCAGCGGATCCCTGAGTGCACGAAGTCCATTGGTTGGGCGCCCTTCAGAGTCTTGATTCATCGGTCAAACAGCAACAGGGACGGCTTTCGACACCAATCACACGAGTATTCTACAATAGGGACAGGGTGGGCCTTTACATTCGACGACTAAACAGAACCAGAGCTGCATCTGGTTACCTATGGTGGTGTAACCAGTCACTCCCGTGAAGATTTTGACACCTAGATGGTCGCCGAAAGGTATTTAACCTCACCATTAAGGAAGATGATTAACGCACACTCAATGCTTTCATACAGCATTGTCAATGGCGTCTGAGCAATAGCGCCCCCGCAACAAAGATCAGAAAAAAATAGCATTGTTGTTTACATTTTAACTAAACCTATCTCAGTTTAAAAAACAAGGTCACGCGACTTAACATGGACAATGGCGTCTGAGCAATAGCGCCCCCGCAACAAAATTCAGAAAAAAAATAGCATTGTTGTTTACATTTTAACTATACCTATCTCAGTTTTAAAAACAAAGTCACGCGACTAAACATACACAATTGGTAACGCGTCGATGAAACCCTTACAAATTGTTTTGTTACCATGGTATGTAGGACTAGATCGCAGCAACGCGGACGGATACGCTAGTTAGTATAAGCATTCTTTAACATTCTACGTTGATCAGGTAGGAGATTTTTATGTTTATGATGGAATTCTTAAATCTAATTATTTGTAGATATGCCCATTGGGTCAGCAGCCTTGGCCATCCTAAGAATCTAACATACGGACGCAGCTAAAGTAGATCTCAGTGAACTTATTTATCATTTTACAAAATTAAAAAACATGAAAAAAAAAACAACCCCACAGATCTAAATAAATCATTAGCAATTTTAAAAAATTGTATTTGGTTAGTGGTTTCACAAAGTCGGGTGTTACCCTACGTGTCACCCCATCGTCCCCAACAGTTTAGCATTTTTGGTGGGGTGTAACCCCCCTCTCCCCAATCTTTATTATTTAAGCTGGATACAACTTAGTTTGACAGTAAATTGTACAATTTTTTTGTCATGGTGTCACACCTAAATGTTGACATCCGATGCGGACCTCACCTTTGACCCCTTCTTATGATGCTACTTTGTTTACTTAAAAAAAATTAACTGTAAGACGTGTAAAATATAGGTCTAAAGACAAAATAATATTATTTAAAATCCTCCATCTTAAGCAGCAGTTTATTTCTTTGTTTAACTCCGTTGTAGCCTGAAGGCTGAAGAAGGGGGCCCACCGATAATTTTTGCATAGGGGCCCGAAAATCCTAGATACGCCAATGATTTAGACCTACAAAACACGTCGACACAGCTATACACAGTTGTTCTCTGGGTGACGTCAAACCTGACCTACATCCGGGTTTTGTCAGTATGCCAGTGCACTATAAATAGCATGCACTGCTGTAGGTTAATGGTTAAATAATACTAGTAATGTTTGACACGGGCGTATTGTTTTTCTACATGCAACACTAAACGTTTCAATATTATATGAAAAGAAAAAACTAATCTGATATCGTAGCCAGTTTTTATACATATAATATTTAATTAGATTCTATTTTAAATTTTAGTGTTTAATAAATAAAACAACTAAAATGAGACTAACCACTTATATTTCATTGTCGTCAATGACTGAGGTAAGGAACTGCTATCTGCACTTACATAACTACAGTCTTCATTTGAACTAACAACAAGAAAAAGTATCACTGTTATTACGAAAGCTAGAAATATTGTTATTACATTTCGTAAATCGACGATTACTTTTCTAGCTTTTAAACATTTTAGGCTGCATTGTATATATAGTCTAACCCCAACCCTAGCCATAACCCTAACACTAGCGCTAATCCTAGCCCAAACTCAAACCCTAGCTGAACCTTAAGCTATGACCAGTGGGTAATGTCCTACTGGGCGGGGGGTAATTGACGGGGGGGGGGGGGGGGGTAATGCCCTGTTCACAGCCTTCAGTAGGTGCTTGAAATCAATCGTTATTGAAAAACCTCACAATATAGATTGGGTGAATTAAAAAACATCACAACAATGGATCTAAATCAAATGTTATAGGCCACAATACAATGAAATAGTACTTCCAGGTATACATAAACTGTCATCGTAGTAAATACAACAGGTGAATACAAAATGCAGCCACTTATAACAGTAGGTTAAAAGATGATCTGAAACTGGTTATTAATACATAGGTTGAATTCTTATTTAAACAATATTTGGAGTATAAAACTTGACTTCACACACTCGAGTAAAAAATAAAAGTTAAATAATTGGTACACTACTATAATATAAAAGTTAAATAATTGATGCACTACTGTAATAAAAAAGTTAAATAATTGGTGCGCTACAGTACTATAATAATTGATATATTACATGGTTATCTTTTTATTAAAAAAAAATTCCAGATAAAATCATCCTTAATATACATTTGCTTACAGATTTCTAGTAAAAGAGCGTTTTACTCCTAACGCTACTCTAATCCACGGAGAAAACAGGAAAAGTTTAACACTGTATAATAATTAGACATGGGCATCTTGTAAGCACTCCTCCCCGACATTCTGCTCCCAGACTTTACATTCATCATCTCACGTTCCCTGCGGTGTGGATTAGTCGGGCCTTCTGGAGTTAAAATATCTCCAGATTTCATCCAAACTGTGCCTGATGATGTTGATGTTTCAGCCATTGCTTGTGTACTGACGGCATAAAACAGACCTGGTCACTTCTAAAGACATGTGCTGGAGACTAGCTGTAGTCGGGTCATGTGAGATTTGTTGTACTGTAAAACTTACTATATACAGACCATCTTTCGGAGCTTGAAATGTGCCCTTGTCCACATCAAAGAGATTACCTACGTTGTACTCACATTTGTATTGGTTTGTTGCGTAACACATTGTCCGATCTTGATAAGCAACGAAACCCAACAACAGGCAAGGCTCCAGAATCAGACCGCCTGTTAGAAACGGAAACGGTTAAATTAGAACACACTTTTTGAGAGAAACTGATTACAGATCTAGGCATGAATAATTTGACATGATTTAAAAACGAGTATTCCAATTTGATTTTAATTACGAGTCTATTAAGTTCATGATTCTGTTTTTAAACTACTTGAATTATTGTACAGTTATCGTTTTGTTTTGTCATTGCTAGATTTTTTAGCTTTTTTCCCAAAACATAATCCATATAAAAAAGTTTATTGCCAAATACCTCACATCTGTGGTGTAGCTAGCACGTTCCTAAATAATTGTGTAACTACAAAACTATGTAAAACATTACAGATTATGTATGAAGAATTTTGATACCAACGAGACATGCGTGTAGCTTTGAAGAAATGTAAATTAGTAAATAAAATATATTTAACTCACTAATCGTCTTTATGTCGGAATTCGCAGCATTTTTAAGATTCCCTATCTGAAACGAACATTATTTACTATGTTATTTAAATAAACGACACAGGTTTTTAGGTTTTCATTGTTTTTTTTAATATAATAATTAACAATAATTTACTTTAAATATATATATTGAAACTAATGCACTTTTTAAAACACCTATCATAATTCATTTCAGATTCATAATAATTTGGAAATCTCAATGTTAACATTAGTTTTACATTTAGTTAATAAATACATAACAGCTTTGAACATAACAGGTATGTGCAAAAAAAGATAGCCGTAACTTAAACATTAATGTTTTCGTATAAAAGAAAACAAAATACATCATAGGAGAATTTCCCACCTTTTCTAGTGAACCTTGCAATGTGTTTCTAGTTAATACACAACTTTTTTTCACTTTATCTTCAATATCACAGATTAAGTTAGAAAGTTGTTTAATTTCATGCGTTACATTGTCTGATTTATCCATTAGAAGCTGGATATCCATTTGAGTTTTCTGTACAGTTTTTTCATTTGCTTTCTTGTCTTGAAGAAATGTTTGTATTGTTTTATGAAAGTTGGATTCTTTTTCTTTCCAGCTACCCATTTCTGTATTCAACAGGCAAAGTTTGTTGTCTTGGTCTAGTATTTGCTGACGGAGACTTTTAAAAATCTGATTTTGTTCCTCAGACAATTTTTCAGCTTTTATCAGCATGTCCTCTTGGCTTGCCACAAAGTTGTCTAGACCCGGCTGTTTCGCATTGGCGACTTCTCCTTTAGCGATAATCTTTTCTATTTCTTCCAGCCTGTTTACAATGTCTGACATCAGTTCAGCTGTAATTTTAATGTGAACTGACATGATAATGATAAAATGCAAAACAATCACAACTATATATATTTTTATGTCTCTCTGTCTAACGGTCTCTCTCCCTCCCTCTCTCTCTTTTTCTTACTATCTCATTTATATATATATATATATATATATATATATATATATATATATATATATATATGGTTCCATGACAAATGATCTCAGGACAAATGATCTCAGACAAAATATCTCAGACAAAATATCTCACGGACAAATGATCTCAGGACAAATGATCTCAGGACAAATGATCTCAAGGACAAATGATCTCACGGACAAAAGATACCAGGACAAAATATATCAAGACAAATGATACCATGGACAAATGATCTCAGACAAAATATCTCAGACAAAATATCTCACAGCAAAATTTTAATAGTGTATACGATAATTTTAGTTGTTTTGAACATTTTTTATTGATTGGCATGTGGTTTTGTTTATTTTTTTACACATAATAATTGTGGGTAAAATAAATTTGGCAAACTTAACAAAACATCACAAGATTTATTAAACTTAATTTTTGTAATAGCAGATCTTCAGGTTTCTAACGTAAAACCATTGTTTTTATTGCATAATCAACACAAATATAATGCTTACGTTTCTTTGCTGACAATCGTATGGCTATGATCACACCTATATTTAATAATATGTGATCGTCTACTATTGTGTGAACTCTTGCTCGACATAAATTCACTAGAAACTAAGTTCCTATAACCTTTCTACGATGTAACGTAAGAGGTCATAGCTGAGTAATCACCACTAATACTGCTTTGTTTGCATACACAATATGACGAACTTTGCTCCGCGATGACCGCTGTCGTTTAAATAAGCATTTGTCACCTGATCACTAAGGTGTGACCGACGCATAACTATTGACTAGTTGTATTGTCCATGGAGGGCGGATGTCTTTCCAATAAGGCATGTCTCTGCTATCAAAGCGGGCGGCAACCTTGATATGAAGGTGTGTCTTTATTGTTATTTCATTCCCTTTGATATAGTTTCATCAACCTGACATGGTAGGTTTGTCTCATGTTTTGCAAGCCCACCTATGCTATCTATAGAACAATTTCTTTAAACTTCGCATACTATATTAGTAATCTTAATTTTAAAATGTTTAGTGGAATGTGACAAATTTATGCGGCAAACATTTCCTACAATTATTATATTGGCCTATAAACAATATTAAATTTAAAAAAACCAATATGAAAAAAAAAATTCAGATCAACTAAAATCATCCTACACACTATTCAAATTTTGCTGTGAGATATTTTGTCTGAGATATTTTGTCTGAGATCAATTGTCCATGGTACCATTTGTCCTGATATATTTTGTCCTGGTATCTTTTGTCCGTGAGATCATTTGTCCTTGAGATCATTTGTCCTGAGATCATTTGTCCTGAGATCATTTGTCCGTGAGATATTTTGTCTGAGATATGTTGTCTGAGATCATTTGTCCTGAGATCATTTGTCCTGTCACCATATATATATATATATATATAGGGTATAAGAAATTATCCCCCCCGTCAATTAAGCTCCTCTCCCCCAGCTCAAGAATCCTAAATTCAACTCTAACTCGATACATTCTTTCTAACCTTAAGAAAAACCTAAACCTAAGCAATCACCTCAGCCCAAACCTGACCCATCCTGATCCTAACCCTAACCCTAACCCTAACCCTAACCCTAACCCTAACCCTAACCCTAACCCTAACCCTAACCCTAACCCTAACCCTAACCCTAACCCTAACCCTAACCCTAACCCTAACCCTAACCCTAACCCTAACCCTAACCCTAACCCTAACCCTAACCCTAACCCTAACCCTAACCCTAACCCTAACCCTAACCCTAACCCTAACCCTAACCCTAACCCTAACCCTAACCCTAACCCTAACCCTAACCCTAACCCTAACCCTAACCCTAACCCTAACCCTAACCCTAACCCTAACCCTAACCCTAACCCTAACCCTAACCCTAACCCTAACCCTAACCCTAACCCTAACCCTAACCCTAACCCTAACCCTAACCCTAACCCTAACCCTAACCCTAACCCTAACCCTAACCCTAACCCTAACCCTAACCCTAACCCTAACCCTAACCCTAACCCTAACCCTAACCTTTGTTAAAAAATATACCCTAACCCTAACCCTAACCTACCTAACCCTAACAACCCTTAACCCTAACCTAACCCTATCAACCAAACCTAACCCTAACCCTAACCCTTAACCCTAACCTAACCTTAACCTTAACCTAAACCTTAACTTCCCTTAACCTTAACCTTAACCCTTAACCTTAACCATAACCTTAACCTTAACCTTAACCTTAACCTTAACCTTAACCTTAACCTTAACCTTAACCTTAACCTTAACCTTAACCTTAACCTTAACCTTAACCTTAACCTTAACCTTAACCTTAACCTTAACCTTAACCTTAACCTTAACCTTAACCTTAACCTTAACCTTAACCTTAACCTTAACCTTAACCTTAACCTTAACCTTAACCTTAACCTTAACCTTAACCTTAACCTTAACCTTAACCTTAACCTTAACCTTAACCTTAACCTTAACCTTAACCTTAACCTTAACCTTAACCTTAACCTTAACCTTAACCTTAACCTTAACCTTAACCTTAACCTTAACCTTAACCTTAACCTTAACCTTAACCTTAACCTTAACCTTAACCTTAACCTTAACCTTAACCTTAACCTTAACCTTAACCTTAACCTTAACCTTAACCTTAACCTTAACCTTAACCTTAACCTTAACCTTAACCTTAACCTTAACCTTAACCTTAACCTTAACCTTAACCTTAACCTTAACCTTAACCTTAACCTTAACCTTAACCTTAACCTTAACCTTAACCTTAACCTTAACCTTAACCTTAACCTTAACCTTAACCTTAACCTTAACCTTAACCTTAACCTTAACCTTAACCTTAACCTTAACCTTAACCTTAACCTTAACCTTAACCTTAACCTTAACCTTAACCTTAACCTTAACCTTAACCTTAACCTTAACCATAACCTTAACCATAACCTTAACCATAACCATAACCATAACCATAACCATAACCATAACCATAACCATAACCATAACCATAACCATAACCATAACCATAACCATAACCATAACCACAACCACAACCATAACCACAACCATAATTGACGGCGGGTAAAGCCCTGTTTCCGTATCAACATTATATTTTCTCGTATGTGTTTGTGTTTGAGTTTGTGTTTGAATTTGATTCTTTGTTTTTTTCGTGTTTGTGTTTGCTTTTTGTTTGCTTAATTGTTTGTGTTTGCGTTTTAGTTTGTGTTTACGTTTGTGTTTCCTTTGGAGTTTATGTATGTGTTTGTGTTTTGTTTGTGTTTGTGTTTATGTTTGTGCTTTAGTTGCGTTTGTATTGTTTTTGTGTTTTAGCTTTGGTTGGTTGTGGTTATTGTTAAGTTTAAAGTTAGAGTTTAGGGTTGTGTATTTAATTGTCAAACGTCCATAACAAGTATAAGCTGCTTAATAATAAACACGGTCCTTTACAGATAAGTCTTTCACAGATGCCAGTGCAGGGCCTGGCCGGAACGGTTAGTATGTGTATATAACGGAAAATATAAATGTAACTGAAGCACTTACATTCACTTCTGTTGTTATCTGGATCTTTAGGCCCCCTTTTTACTTTTTCTTGTGTCGAGGTAATCGCGCTGTTTTCTTTGGAAGCAAGCAGATTATTTACAATAATACACGAGTATAATAATGTTAACAAATATCACATAGCCCAAACTTCTAGACGAACTTAGACTAAATAAAGAGGGCAAAGGCAAAAGGGCTTAAGCACCAGTGGCGTAGATAGGGGGGTTAGGGGGGTTAAACCCCACCCCATAGACCCCTCGGTATATATATTTAAAGTATGAGGGGGGGGGGGTGCAAATCAAAACTTTGAGAGGGGGGGGGTGCAAATCAAAACTTTGAGAGGGGGGTGCAAATCAAAAGTTTGAGAGGGGGATGCAAATCAAAAGTTTGTCCCCAGGGTAAAAATTTCAACCCCCCCCCCATGAGACGATCCTGGCTACGCAAACAGTGGGTTACTCCGCTTTTTAAATCCACTTTTACATGTGTAAGGTAGGCCTACACGTTGAATTTGACATGCCGATCGGGTCTAAGTAATGTGGAATGAATGATCGATTTTTTATACTTTTGCAAAAAGGATTAGATGAAAATGAAGTTGACTTGCAAAAGGTGTTAAGTAAGTGTGGATCACTGATATCTAACCTATGATTTTCCTATGACCGGAAGTTGACACTAAATTCTTAAAGGTGTTTTTTTTTTAAAGAAGGATATCCTAAACGATACTTTCACTAAAATTTTGACTCGTGCCAATTAGCCCCAACAATAAACAAACCAGGCAAAAAAAAGTTGAAGTTTCGTTTATTAGTGATAGATAAACTAACATTTTCCGTGGACAAATTCTTCCAGATCTTAATAACAAATGAATTCTAAATTCTTTTAAAAAATTTATTGAAAATATCTACGATTAAAAGGAGTTTAAATCAATAAACCACTTTTAATAGGATCTAAGTAGGCTTACGTGTGACAAAAAAATTAATAACTAAATAAATTGAAAACAAATAAATTTAAATAAAAATTTACACAGTCAATGAAGTTTAGTTTACCATTTGTGAAATGAATTTCCAATAGCAGTATAATCACAATTCTATTTTAGAAAGCAATCTTCCAATACCTCCTCAAATATTCGGCCATGAATTTTAAAATATACCTGAAATTTTGTCCAGCGCGGAAGCAAAATACTCAGTTCCTTCTTGCAATAGACTCATAATGTGATTGAATGTTATTTCACTTCCGATAGAATTTTCTATCCATTGATTAGCTTCACTTATGATCTGCAAAGCAAAAAATGAATAACAAGATGAAAATGGGTTTAATAGATAACAAGAGTAATTACCTGGGCTAGTTTTACCTTTTGTGCAAATTTGTTCAAGTAATTTTCAAGGTTCTCTTTTTCTTCAGAGAAATATGTCATTAGATTCTGTACAATACTCAGTTGTCTTGCTTTGCGGGCTTCTGTTCTTGACGACATCTGAATAATCAAAATCACTTTTGGAAATACGTTTTTTAACTATTCATAAAATTCTACTTCATTCTTATTCTATAGGTATTAAAATAATATTATATATATATATATATATATATATATATATATATATATATATATATATATATATATATATATATATATAATATTTATATATAATATTTATATATGCGCGCGTGTGTGTGTGTATAAATGAACATAAAAACAGTGTTTAAAGTTAGCAATACAACGTCATTGTTAAAAAAAAAACTGTATCCTATAATAATCTTTATATTCTTATTAATTTAGACTAGATCTGTTAATACATTACGACTGTTAAAATAACTTACTTTGGGCTAGACGAACTTTAATTCAATTGATATTCTGAAATATAAGGCGTAATTATTTTAGGGTAGTTTAAAGAAGAAACGTAACATAGACGGTTGGTTGGGGGAATAGTATTTTGGCTTAGTTGCCCAGTATTGATTTATTGATAAAGCTCATACCGTAAGTGCCAAGGCCCATTATTTAGGCCTGCAGGTAGTCGAAGATCGTGCAAACAACACGCCATTTAGTTTGATTCCTGCTTGATAATCAGCGGCGCTGGCAGTGTTGTGTAATTCGGAGGGTTGTGGCTTAGGTCACACCATATGAATCTCAAGATAGCAACTAGTTACCTTTATGTTTTATCATACTTTTCATATAAATGTCTATGGCGATATAGACAAATAAAATATTATATATATATATATATATATATATATATATATATATGTATATATATATATATATATATATATATATATATATATATATATATATATATATACATTAAATTGCTTTTCAGACCCTAGCTATTTATTTGAAGTATGAAGCAGAGTTCGATTGTTTCTTGACCTCGGCATATGAAGGGTTGGTTTGGCCAACTGTCTGCCCAGCCGCCTTTACTTTCGCTAACTTGAGTTAGGTGGCCATCAGTGCTAGGTGGACCCAGGGATATTCCACGGACTCGAACCCCAATTCAAACTCGAGACTTTTGGCTCTACTGCTTGGTAACGCTGATATATATATATATATATATATATATATATATATATATATATATATATATATATATATATATATATGCACAGGACACATATCAAGATGCAGCTTACATATTTAAGTGTGTGCGGTGTTATTAAAACAGATGTCATAGAAAAAAAATGGAAAGTGTTTTTTTATGACTTTATCAAAGATTCTCCCATTTACTTTGTCGTATACTTATAGTTCTATACAGCATTAATTTAAGGTTGAGATGGCACTTCCAGAACAATTAGACGAAAAATTCTTAGGATTACAAAATTTTTTCAAATTCTGAAATTTTTTGAGAAATCTGTTACAGATGAAGTATCTCTTACTTTTAGCTGAAACCACCAAAATGTTAAACACAATTTTACAGCGAATACCAAAATATGAAATTTTGTGCATCTAACTTAAACAGTACTCAAGTTAACGGCTTTAAAACAAAACAAAAAGGAGAGTAAGTACCACCACCCGGTATCAGAATTCGTTAAAAAGCTAATAGAGAAGTAACAATTTAACATAGACCTAATACTTATATTTAAAATACTTTGTCAAACTAACTAAGACGGTACCCGATTCATCGTGTTGACGTGCACACTGACAGGGAGATACACTGACAGGGAGATACACTAACAGAGAGATACACTAGCAGGGAGATACACTAACAGAGAGATACACTAACAGAGAGATACACTAACAGAGAGATACACTAACAGAGAGATACACTAACAGGGAGATACACTAACAGAGAGATACACTAACAGAAAGATACACTAACAGAGATACACACTAACAGAGAGATGCACTAACAGAGATACACTAACAGAGAGATACACTAACAGAGAGATACAAGGACAGAGGGACACACTAACAGAGAGATACACTAACAGAGAGATACACTGACAGAGAGACACAGGGACAGGGAGATACACTAACAGAGAGATACACTAACAGAGATACACTAACAGAGAGATACAAGGACAGAGGGACACACTAACAGAGAGATACACTAACAGAGAGATATGTTGGGTTCTAGAATCTAGGGTATATATATATGTAGCGACAAACAAAGACAACTAACACTATATAAATATAATAATAACAATAAGATGTTTAATATAAATGTATACAGTAATAAGAATAATAAAAGAGCAAATGGCGTCTACAACATAAAATAACAAGATACTCAACGTCTCCCCGTCCACAGCCACAGCACAACTTCACATCCAGATCTCAACCCCACGTTCCACGTTCCACGTCCACAGCCACACTCCAACTTCACATCCAGATCTCAACCCCACGTTCCACGTTCCACGTCCACAGCCACACTCCAACTAACTGCTTCACACACTAGCACACGCTCTGACACCCGTCACCTGACACACCTCACGTGAACACCTCTCGCTCCATGTAAACACACTCAACCAAGGGATACAACTATACACCAAAGGGAGGGTACCTGTCGTTCCAGCACACAACACACACACACACACAAGCAGGGGACATGTAAGGGACGTAACATCCCTCCCCTCCACCTTCAGATCTCTTTTTCTTCAAAGAGATAAAATATTTCTTGTTCCATTAGCCACTGTTGGTGCCCGAGCTCGACTACTTATTCTTTAGTCCTTAGGAAGCCTCGTTTTGACCGTGTGGCGCGTATCCAGCCTGGACAGTTTGATCCAGAGTGTGGCTTGTATCCAGCCTGGACAGTTTGATCCAGATTGTGGCTCGCATCCAGCTTGAACAATTCGGTCCTGAGAGTGGACTATGGTTTTTCTCCGGCCGGGCACCAAGCTCGTGGTCTGACTATCTCAACCTATAATGATACATGTGAGAAGCCACAATAAAAAAAATTAATCAGCATAATCATTCTATACTGCATCAGTAATACCTTTCTCAAACATTTCTCAATATAATCACATTATAACGCCCCAATAGTAAATTCCTTAACATAATCATACTATCTCCAACAATAATAAATTTCTCAATATCATATACACTAGTTGTCGTAAAACACTCTTGATAGATTGTTTGCTACAAAGTTCTCAGTTCCCTTGACATGTTTCCCAGTACAGGCTAATTCCTGTAGTGCAAGGGCCCATCGGCAGATGCGTACGTCGCCATAGATGGTCATCTTTCCTTAAAGGCGATCAAACTGAGTTCCCTTCTCGATAGCCATTTTAACTACATCAATCATCTCCAGCCCGTAATCATCATACACAGCTTCTGCAAAAAAAACCAAAGAAAAATTAACATTGATTGAATAAATTATCTTAACAAAAAAAACTTACCAAGGACACTACCTTTGTAAGGATACGCCTCCAAATTTCGTGCTTTACCTCGCTCTCATATGCGAGTCTTTAAGCCGGGAAAAATTTCCTAACATATCACGCTGAGCTGTGGGACACACCCGTGATATGTGACCAACACCACCGCAGCAATAACACTTGAGATCATCTGACCGTCGATGTACATTTTCAGTACGCCAGTTGCTCGCTCTACTGGTCCCGTTGGGACAGTTTCGTTGTATGTGGCCTGGCTTTCTACAGCTATAACAGGCCCCTGTATCTATATCCATACTGCACTCTTTGGCAATATGACCTTGTTCATTGCATTTGTAGCACCGATAAGGTCTTTTGTTGTTTCCATACTCCACGACAGCTCTTTTCTCTGACCTATTTCTCCAAGTAAAGCCGCTATTACTATTGCTATGACAATCCCTGGCATAGTGTCCATAACGTCCACATGTGAAACATTTACTGCTCCGGCTGACCTTCCTAACACCATGCATAGGCTGTACACCAGGGCAAGTGTGGTGTCCTGGAGATCGCGGTGTCGTGTTTTGCCAGGGTATCCTCTCTGCTGTCGAACTAGCAGCGACGTACGGAGGGGTTTGATTTACTGGCTTCGTCACTCTAGCGTTTTGCGTGCTCTTATAGTTGTCAATAACTTTAAGATTATCTTCCACACTTACCTTAGCAGCACCATTCAGCCTCTCCAACAGATCACATGTGACCACCGATTTTATCCGATCAACAATCAGGAGGTTCACCAAGTCCTCAAACGTTTCCTTTGTATCCGACTGCCGGACCCACGCTCTCAACGCGGCTTCTGTGTTGACTGCGAAGCTTCTCATATCGTCGTGTGTTGGTACCAGCTGGTGGAATCTGACCCTATACTTTTCCTCGTTGAAACCTGCGTGCGTGAATAACTTTACCTTTACTGACTCGAAGTCATGATGCAAGTTCAGTCCCGTCTCAACGAGGAAAGTCTTCAGTTGTCCACTCATCTTGTCCGTCAGAAGGAGCGACCAGTCCTTGGGGTCAATGCCTTGTCTCTTTGCCTGACTCTCAAAATGCCTCACATACGCACCCAGGTCTTCGTCCACCGTCATCGCCGCCACGTCCCTCAAGCGGGGTACAGGGTTACATACCTTTGCTACAACCTCGACCTTCGCATCTTCCACCCTCCTCAACTCTTCCTTCACCCACTCCGCCAAACTGTCATCGGTCAGCCCGATTAGCTTTCCCTCCTCCTTCAAGTCACTTATTAGCTGTCTTCTGGCACTCCTGGTAGTAGCCATGCTAAACGGACGAGCCCCCAAATGTTGGGTTCTAGAATCTAGGGTATATATATATGTAGCGACAAACAAAGACAACTAACACTATATAAATATAATAATAACAATAAGATGTTTAATATAAATGTATACAGTAATAAGAATAATAAAAGAGCAAATGGCGTCTACAACATAAAATAACAAGATACTCAACGTCTCCCCGTCCACAGCCACAGCACAACTTCACATCCAGATCTCAACCCCACGTTCCACGTTCCACGTCCACAGCCACACTCCAACTTCACATCCAGATCTCAACCCCACGTTCCACGTTCCACGTCCACAGCCACACTCCAACTAACTGCTTCACACACTAGCACACGCTCTGACACCCGTCACCTGACACACCTCACGTGAACACCTCTCGCTCCATGTAAACACACTCAACCAAGGGATACAACTATACACCAAAGGGAGGGTACCTGTCGTTCCAGCACACAACACACACACACACACAAGCAGGGGACATGTAAGGGACGTAACAAGATACACTAACAGAGAGACACACTAACAGAGAGATACACTAACAGAGAGACACAAGGACAGAGATACACACTAACAGAGAGACACACTAACAGAGAGATACACTAACAGGAAGATACACTAACAGAAAGATACACTAACATGGAGAGACAAGGACAGAGAAACACACTAACAGAGAGATACACTAACAGAGAGATACACTAACAGAGAGATACACCCCCAGAGAGATAGACTAACAGAGAGACACACTGACAGACATACAGACAAGATTGCAAAACTGAGTTTTTCGACTTAGTTTGTGTAAAATGTTGACAGAACATCGATCTTGTAACGTTAACCTATCTATCAGCTAAATAGAAGGAGAACGTCCCCGGATTCTTTTTTCGGGGTCATATGCAAATGCCTTACGGCCTAAGTGGATGAACGCTTAACACAACGACCCACTAGGGCTCGAATTTAATGTCTAGGGGAGCTAGTGATACTGTTGTAATTAACACTCATCCAATCTACATACGACCTTTTAATCAGCGAACTCAGTTGTGGCAGAACACAAAGATGAACTAGATAGAAAATTTAATGTATAAAATATCAAAACACAACTTACAAAATGTAGGAAAAATCACTATCACAGATTTCTACACTGTCAAAAGAACAGCCACAGGCCACACAACACTGTTGTAGCTTCAGGAATTACTTAGCGACAAGTAATATTAAACTAGAAGACTAAATCACTTAAGAAAGCAAGGCACACACAGGTCTTAAGTACTCTCACGTTCAAATGGTCAGAGTCTATAGCCGGACAATATGGACGGCTGCCTGATCAAGATAAAACTGCCTCGTAGACTGCCAGGTCAAGATCAACTGCCTCGTGTTGCCCGTGTGCAGTGCAATTAAAGACTTCTGTGACAGGGGAGGTTATCCTCAACTCATGTCGCCATTGGTTGGGATAATCATCTGATCAGAATCATTCAATCAGATTTTAATGGAAAATTTCTATGTCTCAAACACCTTAATAAGTCAGTGGAAAAACCCCAGGTGTTACACCATCATTCCATATAAGGAATTATACAATGTCAAAATAAAAATGACCCGACCTAAGTAGGTCACATCCCCTCCCTTTTTGGAAGTGACAGATAGGTTCCACAAAAACATACATAAGGAACCAATCTGGCAATGAAATAACAAAAATGTTTTACAAATGTAGGCAATCAAAATCATAACACCAGATGAAAATATCCCTGGACATAAAAGGGAAGTAACTCCAACTTTTACAATTGGTGAAAGGGGAGTAACCCTTCAAAAGGTAATTATACATCAAAATCCCTCAGAAAAGGGTATTACAATATTTCCATGTGGATATTAAAAGTGGTAAACCCGCCAGGGTAAGACCTTTATTTCAATGACTAGCTACAATATCAATTGAGTCATATGAGACATTTTATTATAAAAGATTACATATAATCAAAACCCACCTTTAATTAAGGTTCACCTGAAAATAAACAAAATATTCAACAGGATTGGAATTTTAAAAAAAATTCAAAACTCACACCACTCATTTTCATATGAGTGACACTCAAACAAAACCTGTTTATGGTCCTAATGAACCACAAAGCATGTCACATGATCAATGTGTACAACAAGATTTTACATCCTTGACAAACAATCAGCCACAACATTATCACTACCCTTAATGTGTGAAATTTCCAGATTAAAATTTTGGAAATATAAGCACCATCTCAATATTCTTTGATTTGTCTGTCCTAACTTAGAGGTAAATTTCAGGGGATCATGGTCAGAAAACACTCTGACTGGATTGGTTGAAGAAGAGACATAGACTTCAAAATGTTGTAATGACAAAACCAAAGCTAAAGCTTCTTTTTCAATAGTAGAATAATTCTTTTGGTTCTCATTTAACTTCCTGGAAAAAAAGGCAATGGGATGGTCAATTCCCATGTTGTCTTCTTGAAATAGGACTGAGCCAATGGCTAAGTTGCTAGCATCAATGGCAAGTTTAAAGGGTTTGCTAAAATTTGGTGCAGCCATAACAGGAGCATTTGATAAAAATGACTTAATGGTTAAAAAAGCTTCTTGACATTTATTGGACCATTCAAATTCAACACCCTTTTTCAATATTGCAGTAAGAGGTTCAGCAATAGCTGAAAAGTTTTGACAGAACCGCCTATAGTAACCAGCCATCCCAAGGAACTTTTTGATCTCTTTACAATTTTTGGGAGGTGGTAACCTTACAATAGCATCTACTTTAGCTTCAATGGGCCGAACTTGGTTCGTTCCCACTTGATAACCCAAATAGGTAATTGAAGCTTTACAGAAATCACTTTTATGTAAGTTTACAGTAAAATTAACTTCAGACAATTTTCTAAAAAGGTTAGTCAATTGAACAATATGTTCTTCAAAAGTATTAGAAAATACAACTATATCATCTATGTAGGCCTCACATTGGTCTATGTCAGCAATGACAGAGTTAATGACCCTCTGGAAAGTTTGACCAGCATTTCGCATACCAAAGGGCATACGTTTGTATCTATAAAAACCATTAGGGGTTACAAAAGCAGATAATTCTTTTGCACGGTTAGATAAGGGGATTTGCCAGTATCCTGAAAGTAAATCAATTTTGGAAATTATCTTAGCTTGGCCAACTTTATCAATAACGTCTTCTATCCGAGGTAAGGGATAGGAATCAGCTTTGGTGAGCGCATTCACCTTCCTAAAGTCGGTCACAAACCTGAAAGATCCACCGTCTTTCGGGACTAGGAGACATGGGGAACTCCAGTTGCTGAAACTGGGCTCAATGATATCATTCTTGAGCATATAATCAATTTCATCTTTTATCAAAGCAGCTTTTTCCGGGTTAACTCTATAGGGGTGTTGTTTAATGGGTTTTGCGTCACCAACGTCTACATCATGAGGTGGAACCTTCGCTTCTTTGGGGACATCCCCAAAAATAGAGGGAAATGTCTCGAATAACTGAGACAATCTATGGCTTTCCTCTGTGGACAAATGCATAAGGTGGACATTCAAATTATCTAAAAAGGAAGAATTTACCAATTTTGGGGGTTTCAATTTATCATGTATCACATCATCAGAAACATTTGAACATACAGGTAAAGTAATTTTAGCTGTGGATTGAAAATTGTTACAATTATCATAATACTTTTTCAGTGAGTTGACATGATACACTGTCTGTTTCTTTCTTCTGTCGGGCGTATTGACAACATAGTTCAAATCACTTAATTTTGAATGCACAGTAAAGGGTCCACAATATCTCAAGGATAACGCATTGTTCAGATTAGGTACTAGCACAAGAACTTTGTCGCCTGGATTGAATGTTCGTTTACAAGAACTCTTATCATACAGTCCTTTCATTCTCACTTGGGCCCTTCTTAAGTTCTTGTGAGCCATTTCGCACACGGCTTTCAGTCGAACGTGAAAATCGTCAAAGTTTTCCACTGGATGATCACTGGTACCTGTCCAACGTTCGTGTATCAGCTTCAGGGGACCACGGACAGAATGTCCAAACACAAGTTGAAAAGGCGAGTAGCCTAAAGAGTCCTGGACACAGTCCCTCGCGGCGAAAATAATCCAAGGAACAGACTCATCCCATTGGGTGTTACTGTTAGCGAATGTCCTTAGCATGGTTTTGAGGGTTTGGTGGAACCTCTCAAGTACGCCTTGAGACTGAGGGTGGTAGGCTGAGCTGGTGATGTGGGTAACGCCTAGCTTGGCTAGCGCTTCCTGAAAATGGTGACTGGTGAAGTTGCTGCCTTGATCTGTTTGCACGATTCTAGGTAATCCAAAGGTAGTGAAGAACCGGGTTATGGCTCTGACTACAGTCTTTGCCTTAATGTTCCGTAAGGGAATCGCCTCGGGAAAACGGGTACTTGAACACATAAAGGTAAGTAGGTACTCGTTGCCCGCCTTGGTTTTAGGCAAGGGACCTACACAGTCCATGACGATTTTAGAAAAGGGTTCTTCTAATACAGGAATCGGACTCAAAGGGGCCTTCGGAATTGTCTGGTTTGGCTTTCCGGCCAACTGACAGTTCGTGCAACTTCTACAGTAACGCGACACATCTTTTCTCATTTTGGGCCAAAAGAACAGTTCTTTGATCTTCGCCGTCGTTTTAGTGACACCTGGGTGCGCTGACATTGGATGGTCATGTGCCAGCTTAAGTATTTCATGCCGATAAGGTGGAGGGATCCACAGCTGGTTTTTACCCAACCATGGTTCGGCTGGTGAGGCAATCACTGGTATAGCGCGACGAAAGAAGAGGCCGTTCTCGGAGAAATATTCTCCATCGTCAGATGATAGAGATTTTTCGACCGTTGCTTTGAGTTCCGCGTCGACTTGTTGAGCTTTAATGATGTCTTCCTGAGATATTCTCAGGGGTAAGCCCAAGCTTGTGTTTTCTGGAAGCATAGACTCCAGTTTGGGAGTCGAATTTCTTGACGATGATGGCGGGTGTGGTTCAGACGTTGTGTCAGCCAATTGTTTGGTCTGGCTTCTTGTCACCGCACATGCTGGATACAGTTCATAATCATTATCTGGAACTGTTGACAAAGGGTCTGAAACCGTACAGGGGTATACTTTGCTTCCCGCAAGGTCA